AACAATTGCTACTGAGCTTAGTGACCTCTTTGCTTTCCAGCTCTGAGGCTCCAGCCTGGCTATGAATTGCTACTTGTGCGTCCTCTATCTTTGAGTCACATTTCTAAGCCCATCTGATTATAAACCTTTCCAGGCAGGGAAGTCACAGGGTGCACATCCTTACCCAATGGCATGCTCCGGTGGCATCTGATAAATGTTTCTGGAGTGTTCCTCTAGAAATATTTTATTCAGTTTAAAGCAACCCTTTCTTTCCTTTCAGAATCCCCAAACCTGATTCTTAACACTAAGCATTTAGAATAGCATTCATGTTTGCTTTTTAAAAATGCTTTTAGCTATCTCAGGAACTCAGAAGATACTTACACCCCACTTTCCTACCACATGATGGAAAGCGATGAACTGCTTTATAGCCCTTGGTAAGGGCAGAGGCGTTCTGAACACGCACGCTGGGCTCCTGGTGCCAGAGGGATCCTGCTCTCAGAGACCCACTGTCCCTCTCAGACGCCGCAGCGTCCTGGGTGACGCTGACATACCCATGCACTCTGCTCTGGGAGCCACCGACTGGCAGGCACATGAAAGGAGGCTGAGTCCTGTCAATCGGGGCTAAGCCAAAGCGACTCCTAGAGAATCAGCAAGCTCTCCTAATTAGGGAGCATTTAAAAAGAAGTGCCACTTATTTATGTCATACAGTAATTTCCTCATTTTAATGGTCACCTCAGTTAATGACTAACAACATATAGCCAAAAAAGAAGGTCAGCCAAGCAAATCTGACGGACCAGAGAGAACTGTTGCTAATGAGCTCACTTTGTGTCTGGATGCAGACAGATGCACAGAAACAGCACAAAGGCGAGAGGAGTCAAACCCCATTTACTCTCCAAGGCGGAAGACACGACCCCGCAGCCTACTTCCCACTATCTTTGACTGACAGCGAAGAGTAAACTTCAGCCTGGCCCTGCATGACATGAATGCTGAATTAGTTTGGTCCAAATTAAATGACATTTACTGAATTGTGACATATAAATATTCTAGAATTTGAAAATCTTTAGCCCAAAGTAAAAATAAAAATATTGTTTCTGCTCAGGGTCCTTGCACAGTGTCCTCTCCCTACATAGGCAGACGGCTGGAGGTGATCAGGCTCAAGGATTCGTTGGAACTGAAGGAGAGACCAGCCCAGAGTGATTTTTTTTTTAATTAAGAAGCAACAAAATGAACTTGAGCTTGGCAAGACCCCAACAGAGAAACCAGGCTGGCTCTGAGCCCAATTTACATGGATGGGCTGAACTTGGACTTGGGCCTGGCTCCTTTGGGACTCTGGGGTCAACAAAGGCCCATCTGCAGACCTGCTCATCTTGGTTGGGGGAGAGGGTGACCCTCCTGGAGACCCCAAGAGTCTTCTAGCCCTCTATCCTCCTGGACGCTTAGCTCCCCTCTGCCCTGTGAGATCCCCCCAGTGTCTTTTCAAGAAGTCTCTCCCTTTTTGCTAAAGTTAGCCACTTTCTATTGTGTTACCCAGAAAACCGAATCTGTTCACCAACTCTCGTCTGTGCTAAGGACAGACACTGGCGTCACCTTAGCCTGCCTGGAGACCTGCTCTTTAAACAGGAACTATTCTTATGCCTGGAGGGATGATGGTGGAATTTCAGAAATTATAACAAGTGTATGGGATGTGGGGGTACCTGGAACCCCCAGCAGTATTACTAATATGGGGACTCTTACTCACATGGGCATGCTGACTCCAGGACATTTCAGGCAACTCAACACAGAAAAAAACAAAGCAACCCATTTTCTCCAGCTCCTTGGAAACCAAGGGGTAACAAAAAAGGAGAAGGGTCTTAAAGAGAATAGGAAAAGGGCATGGAAGGGATGTTCATTCATAAGTCCCCAGGTGACCAAGGGAAGCCCTGGGCCTTCTTTCAAGGTGAAGAATTTTCATGAATCATGGACTCACAATTCAGGCCTGGAGGGGGCCTGAGAGCCTGGGCTGCACTTCCCTTCCTGCCCACCGTCCCATACCAGGGCCACAGCGGAGGCAGCTGGGGAAGGCAGCTCTGTTCCCAGGGAAGACTTCTGGTCATAATATTTCAGAGCCAGTGCAGGGCCAGATGCTTGACACCTACACTGAGGTGGCTGATCTATAAGCCAGAGGAGGTGGAGATTCCACTTTCCAAAATGCTTTCACACCCTTCACCTTATCTGAGTGTCCCTACTGCATGAGCAGGAAGAGTCTATTGCCCTCACTTTCCAAATAAGGAAACATGGTGGGAAGAGTTAGGATACATGCTCAAGACTGCCCATCCAGCAGCTAGAAGAGCTAAAACAGACCTCTTGGTCCATCCTACTCTTCTCTTTCTCCCACTGGATACAGGAAGACAGGTGTTCCCAGACCCGCCACTCCAGATGGCTCCCACTTCCTCCTGAGAACACTGTGCTGGTTCTTCTCACGGCAACAGAATGGAAGGGGTAGGACTCAGGCCTCAGCCTTGCACCTGCTTTACCTGGCCTTCATCAAACAAGGTGCTTCCCCCCTGGGCTGCCTTCAGCTCCCTGCCCAACAGCGAGTGGGAACCTTTGTCCCAAGAAATGCCAGGGGCCCAGAGACAGGGGAGGAGGTTGTTTGCCTGCTGCCCACCTCCAAGCCTGGTCAGGCCCCCTCCTCCCAGGCCCACCCCTTTGGCAGCAGACAGTGCCTTCTGAACATCTCTGTGACCTCTTCTGTGGCGTGGGTTGTGAACTGATGAGGCCAGCCAATGAAAATAGCTTTTCACCTTAGTTGGGATGCAAAGGGACAAGTTTGCCACTAATCTTTCAGTGGGAGCACACATATCAAAACCTGCAAGCAGGCACCCGGGCTTCTTGACCGGGATTTGCAGCATTTCTCCGCCTCCCCTGCTGCAGAGGCCGAGCCTGACTTTCAAAAGAAGGGCATGCAGCCCTGGGCAGATCCTGAGGAGAAACTCAGTGAATGGTGGTGTCATCGGCCTTGGATCCCCCTTTGGGGATTTCCCCGGGGGCCTATCAAAACAAGAAGCAGTCTGAGTGAAAAAGGAAAAGCAGCAGATGTTGAAGGAATGCAGCATTGTTGATTCCTAGAGGCGGCTGCCTGAATATTAGATGCAAATAGGTGCTAATAAGTACAGTTGGAGAAGCTAATGGAAAACTGTCCTTTCCCAGGAGGATCACTGCATGCAGATGCACAGGCAGCAGAGATGGTGGTCTGGGCGAAGCCGGTGTAGACTTGTCCTGTGGAAACACTTGTGGTGCAGAGCTTCCTCCTGGCTCAGGGCTGGCCCCAGGGAATAGGAAGAGAAAGAGAGAGGAAGAAAGAGAGAGAGAGAGAGAGAGAGAGAGAGAGAGAGAGAGAGAGAGAGAGAGAGAGAGAGAATTGGCCCAAGGCAGTGTGCATGGTACGGAAGAGCTGCTCAGCCAACCAGTGGCCCTGGCCATGGGTGGTGAGGGGGCTGCAGGTGTGGGGACAAGAGGACACAGGAGCAGGAGCAGGGACAGGAGCAGAGACAGCGCACTCGGCAAGTAGCTTTCTGCTCACTTGAACCCACACCCCCACCTTTGCTTTAACAGTTTGGGGGCCCCTGGATGTGAGTTGGATAGGGATTCCTCTATCCTGCCGTTCCTGACATTTGAGTCCTTGTCCCTTACATTTGCTCACCCAATCTGCACCTGACTGAGCTGGAGTAGTGATTTCAGCCATATACATGTGCCCCCCCCCCCCCCCACACACACACACACGAGTAACACACAGCCAGTGGAGTGTGGCTGGGCCAGTGCCCTGGGTCTGGCATAGTTTCTGAGCTCAGGGAGACCCCAGCACTGAACCTATGTCACTTTGGAATCAGCAGCCCAATCCTGGCTCTGCATTTTCATGCCTCACTTTCCTCATCTGTCCAACAGTACTGATAATGCCTACTGCGTTGCTGCAGGAATTAAGGAAGAGCCATGCTATCACTGGTATATACTTCCGTTTGCTAGCTCACCTTTCCTGCTCTATCTCTGAGTGCTCTGGGCTTACCTGGGGCATGCAGGAAGCCTCGGAGCTGCCTGGGGCAGAGGCTGGGTGCCTACCAGAGCCCTAGTGCTGGAGTGCCTGAGCCTTCCTCAGGAGGGGCTCTGCTCTGTCAGGGCGGACCCAGCCCCATCTTCTCTGGCCTTTCAAGCTCTGTGAGTCCACCCCAGCCGCCAACTTCATCCTATACTCTGCGTCAGCTGCATGGAGTCACCAGGCCAAACCATCAGCAGATAAAATGAGAGGAGGGGGAGCATCCTTTAACTTACTTTATTACAGGTTTCTTTGCAGGTTTTTAAAAATACCAGGTGGCCCTTCAAGACTGATTTACGCAGCTTTATGTGGTTCCTGGGAGAAGCCTGCCAGCCTCCTTCCTGGGACTGGCTTGCTCCCTGCCGGTGGGGCTACCTCTTCACAGGAAGAACAAAACCTGGAATCAGAGCCCCAAGCCCCCTTCACATCCCTGCGCTGGTGCTGTGTGGCTGTGGACCTGGCACGTCCCCACTCTGTGGTGGGGGGTAGTGTATGGGGAGGAGTCGCTTGAGCCCCGTTGAGCTCACTCACGACCCTCCCAGCTCTCAGGCCCCTGACCAAACAAGGGCTTCAAGGAGGTAGCCCTCAAGGTAGAGTCTGGGTCAGGGAGCACGTGCAGTTGAATCAGAGCCCCAGGAATTTGGGCATCCGTGTGGACACCGAGCGGGCCGCCCAAGACCTTGACCGAATTGCACGGAAGCTGGATTTCTCAGAATCTTCCTCGGTGCAATCCTCTGCGTTTTGCTAGCCCCGCGCCCCCGAAGCGTGGGTCCTGGGCGCGCACCCCTGCCCAGATGTGTCATGGCCTGCTCTGGCGGCGCCTTGCTCTTTTCCCGAGTCGGCGGGAGCGTGCGATCCACAGAGGCAGCGGCAGCACGCTGGCCGCGGTCTGGAGCCAAGCGACAGCGGGAGTCCAGCTCTCAGGAAACCCAGAAGACACGGGCGGCCCACGACTACCTTCACCCCCGCGGCCGCCGGGCCGCGCCCAGCGGCGGCTCCTTCGCAGCGCTCAGCCTGTGGGGCCGCGGGAGCCGCAGAGCGCGCGTGGGTGCGGCACCGGTGAGCTCCCGGGAGCGGCCAGCGGATCTCAGGAGTGATCCCCTCCCGGCGGGGCCACCGCCGCTGCTGCCACCACTTCGGGGCGGGGCCCAGGCCGGGGGTGGGGCGCCAGGCGGGCGCGGCGCTATTTCCAGCCCTGCCGAAGGCTTCGCTAGCACTTCGCTGGGAGCCTTCCCGGCGCGCGAGCCGCATCCCGCGTTGCTGTGGGGAGGAGAGAGGAGCAGGCAGCGGCGGGAGGCGGGAGGCGGTGGACAGACCCGGACCCGGGCGGAGGAGGAACACACCACCGCGCCCTCTCCCTCTCCTGGGCGCTCCGGTCGCCGGCCCCACGTCGCTCGCTTCACCCACCGCACGCAGTTCCGCTGCGAGCGCGAGGAGGCGCAGGGCCCTCGCGGAGCTGGGGCGGAGGTCCTCCTCGCTCCCCCGGCGCCCCAGAGCCGCGGATTCGCCGCGGAGGACCGCGCCGGGGCTGGAAGCGCCCGCGGCCCCGCGAGTGCCGGCTGCGACAGGTAAGTGCGCTGCGCCCCTGCGCCACCCCTTTCTCCGCCTTGTGCAGGCTCCTGGTTGGGAGGGGCGCCCTGAAGGGTCCCGAGAGGGCCCAGAACTGCACTGCGCCCCAGCCCCGCGAGCCCCCGCGAGCGTGAGTCCGAAGCCTTGGGCGGAAATAGGGTGCGCGCTGGGTTCTGGTCTGGCAGCACTTTGGGGACCCCAGTAGTGGGAACTTTAATTAGACTTTTGCTTCTTGGATTTCACTTGCGGCCGCGCCTCTCGGGCTTCCTGGGTCTCTACGAACCCTCTGCTCCCGGTTCCAGCCCTGGGTGCTGGGCGCGGGGAGGCAGCGTCTGACTTCGAGAGGGCCCGGCCGGAGCGCCCCGGGCTTTCCCGCGCGCTGGGGACTGGGACTCGGGTCGGGTTGTGGCGAGCGGGGCGAGGGAGGAGTTAGAGGCTGCCTTGCTTCCTACCCAGCGGCGGAAGGTGCCCTGCCGCTCTATCGCGCGCGTCCCCACCCCGCGACTCTCCTGGGCGCCGGCCTGTTTGGTACTCGAGGCGAGTGTGTGTGCGTCAGTGATCGGTGAAGGTGTGTGCGTGCATGTGTGCGGGAGTCGGAGTCTCAGGCGGCTTGGTGGGCGGTGAAAAATCGGTTTTGCCGCGGGACCCAGCCGAGCTCTGGCCGTGGCTGCAACTCCAGCTGCTGGCTTTGAGTTCTGCACACCAGCTCTGGCCTCGCGGAGGCCGCCGGGCCAGGCGAAGGCGCCGTTGGGGGGTTCAGCGGTGCCAGTGCTGGCGCTTGGGTCGGAAGTGACCCCTCTCTTTTCCCCCGGCGCCAGACTGCTCCCGTGCCAACTTAGGCAGTACAGCTGGTCTCCAGGCCCTGCGACCCTGACCCAGAGCTGATGCAGCAGCCGCACAGCGCCCTCGGCTGTGGACACTGGCTACCGGGCTGTCTGACCTAACCGAGAAGACTCCCTGTCCCGCGGAAGTCTCTGGTTTCACAGTGGACCGACCCCCTTCCTTGAGCCGCCTCCCTGAGCCGAGACTGCCTATCATAAGAGGAATGGGCACCGAAGCCCTCTATGTCTGCTTGGCCGGGATTTACCCCCAGCAGCAGAGCGGAAGCGGTTGAATAAAGGGACCTCCTCTGGACTGAACCGGGGGAGGGGCAGTGGCAGAGGGTTACCCCCTTCCACATCCTTGGGGTGCTTACAAGCTGCACACCCAAGCCCCCTCTCTTTGGGTAAACTTTCACACCCGAGTTCGCCTTGACCCTTGCTCTGGGGTGGAAAACTTTTTCTAAGTCCTGCCCTACAACAAACAGCAGGAGTGGCAGAGTTCTCTTTAAAATTTCTCAGCGGTCATGGCCTCTCCTGCTCACCCTCTATCCCTGTCAACAAAGCAAGGCAGACTGGCCACAGGAATGGGTGACACTCTGGTCCTTGAAGGATACCCCCCTCTTTTAATCCATACAGCCCATGATATATGGCAGGGAGAGGGCCTGGGAGCCTTGGGGGTGGGGGCAGGGAATGGAAGCACCTGGCAGAGCCTTCATCAGATTTGCCTCTGTGAAGTGACCCACATGAGAGATAAAATTCAGATCTGAAGAGACAGAGCTTCATAGGGTGATCAATAATTCTATAGCATTTGAACACAGAAAACCTCAAAGTCTGACCCCATCCCATCGCCTGGCCTGTTCATTCTGGGACATACAGATGATTTATTTACCTGGATTCAGACTCTACGAGAGTGAATTATGTTCCCCAGGTATTGATTTCTAAAAAGACCCCAAATTAAAAAGTCAGGGCTTTCTTAAAGCAAGGTCAAGGATTAATTATTTATAGAGAGACATCAATCAGCCAGTGTGGGGCTCATGTATAAGTTGCCTGCATGGGCAAAAGAAGCATCTTCTGGCTCTGGCTCCGGCCGGGAGAGGAGCGGCTTGTCTGACCTCCTGGGTTTGGCGGAGGTTTCCGGGACTGTGGACGGAGGAGGCTGCTTTGTAACTCAGCCTGCTGTCAGGAGATGCCTTTTTAATCTCGTAGCCAGGATCCCACTTGGGAAATTTCAGGCATATTTGCTGTGTTTCCGTAATGAACATTTACTGATTACAGTGTATCAAGGGAATTTCATTTTTTAAACATTTATTCAAAGCTCTGTTTATGTAAGCTAATAAGTCTGGGAAAGTTCGGCAAAGACGTTTTTGCTGCCTGGTTGTTGGGAAAGTAGGCCTGGTGGGCTCATCTCAGAATTTACTCTCAGTTCAGTTGACAGGAGGAAAGTCAGAGTCTCCTGATTGAAAGTGTCATGCAGGTTGCTTCTCTGCTCTTTACTCCAACTCGGAGCCAGCAGGGGCCTCATAGGCTTTTTGTGGTTTTGTGGATCGAAGAGATGGCCACTTAGAGCTTTTATCGTTGTTTGCTGATGTGTCTGGTTGGAGGCACCGGAGGTGAGCTCTGGAGTCCTGTGGGGCTGGCCGGGGAGGGTGTGGTGCCCCATCTCCTGCCCAGCCTGGAGTCTGGGGCATTTGTCTTCCCTCACCGGCTGCACTTCCTGCTTTCTCCATCATGTAGCAGCCACGCCGGAGACACGTGGAACAGGGAGGGAACCAGTGGGCAGGAAAGTGGACACAAGTTTATGGCATCTTTTTCATGACCAGCCTGGCAATTAGAGTCAGTAAACGCTGTGGGGAACAAGTGCCTAGCCTTTTAGCCAGTCAGAAGGTACTGAGTTACCAACAGTAGATTTATGAAGTACTGGCCCAGGGAGAGCAGTGTGGCCCTGTGGAGGGACAACAAGACATTTTTTTAAAAAGCGTGAGGATGGTTCTCTGCATGTGTATATGGCAATGGTGTCCTAGAGCCCCAGGAAGTTTGCTGGGAAGGCAGCCTGCGTGGTGACAGTTTGGTGACGGTAGGCTCCCTGGCACTGTCTTTGGAGTCATAGCTAGGACTTGCCTGGCTCCAGAGCAGCTGTGTTCCTTCCCTCCTGGGAAAAGGCTGCCCCAAAGCAGAGGAAACCCCTGGGCTCAGACAGCCAGGGGCCAGAGCTGCATTAGCTCAGGGGGCAAAGGACACAGGAGACGCCATCTCATTCTTTCCTGGCTGGAGGCTGTGTGGCCCGTCAGCAAATCAGTGTGGCAGCAGATGAGACTTACAAATTGATCGTGGGAAAAAGTTGTGACTTTAACCCTGTACATAACTACCTGTCATTTGTGATCTGGAGCTGCCTGCACCTGCTGGCCGTAAATGCAGCCTCCGCCACTGACAGCATGAGGAGGCCTGCATTCAGGTGGGCTGACACCCACAAGCAACCCTGATTCCATCTCAAAAGCCGTCTTTCAGGGAGTCTGAGTGTCTGTATGTAGGCAAGGTGCTGGGGCTGGTAGACACAGCTGCCCTCCCAGGCCAGTGACCTGGGTCTCAGCATTCCCACTTCCCACCTGGAATGCCATGCATTGCTGGGCGATCAGTGCTTCTTGCTGCTAGTGACTGAGGACAAGGCACCCTGTCCCTGCCAAGACATGGTCAGAGCTGCCCCTGGCAATGACATTTACTTGAACTAAATGAGAGTTGTCAACATTGAAACCTGAAGCCAAATGACCCTGCGTCCCACACTCCCAGTGTCAGAGCCGCTGTCCATCTTCTTCATTCTGCCATCAGTGAACATTTACTGCGCATGGATTAGGTGTCTGTCATTGTGCCAGGCTCTGGGGACACAAGATGAGCAGAACTAAGAGTGGTCCTTGCCCTCGTGGGTTTTGTAGTTTTGTGGGACAGAAATTCCCTCACATGCATCCCTCACTGACTCAGGCTCTGCCTGCAACACTATTACTAAACAAACACCCCGTGCCGGTGTGAGTCTAGGCTACAATGAACATATGAAGGACTCGGCTGGGTGAGTGCGAGATCTACAGTAGAGTAATCTGGCCTAGACTGAGGGGTCAGGAAGACTTCCCTGAGGAGGTGACACTCTGCTGAGATCTGAAGGAGGAGCTGAAACTAAGCAGGGAGGGGTGGGAGGAAGTGATGGAGAGGGCTTGCCTGGCACAGAATGTAAGTGGATGAGAGGGAGCGTGGGGCACATCCAGGAGCTGTGGGAAGGCCCATGTGGCCAGCAGAATGAAGGAGGGGAGATGTGGTTGGAGATGAGTGGAGTTCCGTCCGGCCCTTAGGGCCTTGAAGATTTTTGGGGGGAGACTTTGGACTTGAGTGTACAGCCCCTGTAGAGGAAAGAGCTGCAATAATCCTGGAGGAAGGTGACCATGGTCCTAAAGAGGAGTGATGGACATGAATCCACCAGGGAGAGGGTGAGGGTGGTTGGGACCGTGACTCCTGGATCACGAGTGGGAGCTGTGAATGCTCTGAGGCAGGGCCCCCTGGACCAAGCACCTGTCCACTCTGGCTGGCATATGTTCTTCAGGGCTGGGGATGTCAGGTAGCTGCTCATGTGGCTCTGCCTCTGTGCCCCTGCCCACTTGGCCCGCCTTCCAGCTTTCCTCCTAGCCCTTGGCCTTCTGCTATATTCCCCCATGTGGTCACCATTTAACCCTAGCTTGTGTGCGCACTCAGTAAGTTACAGCCCAGTACCCTTTGCCCGGTGTTCTCTGGTGAGGACAAGCTGTTATGATGCCTACCTTTCTCTTGGCCTGCATGTTGTCCATTTAGCTTCCTGGTGATCTGGTAGGTCCTTTACCTGCCACCCACTTGTACCTGACCTGGCAGCTCCACTCCTGAGCCCTCCCCTCATTGCCAGCCCTTTCTCCTTTCCCTCCTACCGGTGGGAGTCACCTGAACCTACTTCTTCAAGGGGCTCTGCCCATGGCTCAGAGATCCCCAACTCCCTCTGATGTTGGTACTTCGCTCTGCAGCTCAGCTCAGGCCCCAGCGTCCCTGCAGGCATCACCTGGTCCCTGCAGCTCTTCTATAGCTGGGGTGGGACAGCAGGCCTGTGAGTCACCCCACTTCCCGTGGTGCCCACACTGCTGGCTGCAGGCCCTGCTCTGAGTGGTCACTGA